TATCAACAGAAGACCATTATATTGACTCACTGTTGTGAAGTGTGTTCCCAATGGAGGCCATGTTCAAAGGATCCCACCCACGGGCCACGTGTTGAGCCCCGTGTAAACCCAGAACACAATGTGGACTGCAAACAAATGGGCCACAGGCCGCATGTGGCCCACGGGCCGCGTGTTGAATAGTGCTGGACTAGGAGATTATTTTAGCAGCAGCATTTTGTCCAAAGCAGTGAAAGGTATTTACACTCATTTGTACATGTGGAGGAAAATTCAACCTGGAAGGAACACAAAATGTAAGCACAGTGAATGGGGAAGAGACTCCTCTTCTTCCTTCTGATAGATTGAATCTTTCCTTCTCAATGCCTTTCCTTCTCACACCCTGTGGCTGCTTCCTTAGACATGGGCATTCAGCAGCTCCTTTTTTATTGTTATTATTAATCATGTTTATTACATTAGTGCCTAAAGGCCAACCAAGAATGGGGCCCCATTTTGCTAGGTGCTGTACAGAGTTGTAGATGCTCCCTGCCCCGTAGAGTTTACAATCTAAATTGACTTGACAGACACATGATCGGGGAAGATGTAGAACACGGAAGCAGAGTGAATGGTGTTTTGGCAGTTACAGGTTTTGGGGGATGGAGGAAAGGATGGGTGTACTTAGGAAGGAAGGAAGTGAGCAGGAAAGGACAGGGAGATGAGGATAAGGGGGGGGCATGTGAGGAGTGAAGCTGACTGAAGAGACGGAGGGTGTGAGAAGTGAAATAAACAGTCAAATCAGTACAGGGAAGAAAAGTCCAGCTAAAACTGTAGAAAGTTCTTTGAATGTGTTGAGGTCTCAGCTTTTCTTGCACCTGCTCCTACCAGCTGGAAAGTCTGCCTCACAGTTCTCTGCAGTTTTCCCCTAAGGCCACATGGTAGTGGGGAAAGGAGGCGCCCACCTTCCTGGCAGTGAGATGAGCAGACAGTTGGTGCAGCTGCAGAGCAAAAGGAAGGCTCCCCACCTGTAAAGGGGACTGCTCTGCTGGGCCATGTCACCATGGCATCCACCCAGATTGATAAGCTTAACAGTAACAAGTCACCGGGACCAGATAGCATTCACCCAAGAGTTCTGAAAGAACTCAAATGGGAAATTGCGGAACTATTAACTGTGGTTTGTAACCTATCCTTTAAATCGGCTTCCATACTTAATGATTGGAAGATAGCTAACATGACACCAATATTTAAAAAGGGCTCTAGAGGTGATCCTGGCAATTACAGAATGGTAAGTCTAACGTCAGTACCGGGCAAATTAGTTGAAACTATAGGAAGCAGTAGTGGACAGGCTATAGGTCAGGGAATAGGTTTATATTGGAGACCGGGGGCTGGCACTCCGGGGAGGTTCTGGGTGGTTGGGTGCAGTGGGGCTCTGGAAATAGGAGGCTGGCAATGGGGGGCCAGGTGAGGGGAACTGGCCCAGGGGGGCTCTGAGGGTGGGAAGCTGGCACTGGGGGGTTGGGTGCAAGGGACCCTGGGATCAGTGGCTGGCACTAGGGGGTAGTGGAGGGGTAGGGAGCTGCAGGGCAGTGCTCCCCAACCATTTGAGGTTTCC